TCAGTGTGGAGGGAAGGGAAATAGGAATCCAGAAAGTCCAGGTGAGAAGACTGAAGGATGGCGAAGAAAAGCATTTCTGGAATAGAATTAGACTACAGGCTCTGGTGGATGGAGGAGTGAAGGGAGGCAGGAGCATGAACCCTAGAGTGGGAGCCTGCCTCCCTAGAGTGGGAGGCAGATGGGGTAATAGCTGAGGACCGCCCACCCAGTGCCCCTCCAGGAAGGCTCCCACTGCCCTTCTGTCTCCCCTCTCCCACCCATCTCAGCCCATCTCTGAGGATCCAGATCCCTGTGTGTTCCCCTACATAAAGAACACCTGAGCATGTGACCCATCCTCACCCTACAGGACCCGATTGGCCTCCACACTGGGGAACCAGAAATGTTTGTGGAGCAGTGAACAAACCATCCAGCCATGTGATTAGACTCTGTGCCTTAGAGCCTGGCCTTGACCTGCCAGAGGATTTCAGGCCTGCTGAGAGCAGAGGTAGGAGTTAGGAGCCAGCCCTGGAAAATAGGCAGGCTCTGTACAATGTCATGGAAAGCAGAGCACCGAGGCTTGGTAGAGACGTGTGGGCTGAAAGGAAAAAAGGTGGGGGATGGACATATGAGGTGGCCCCTGAATGCCCAGCTCAGGAAAGGAGCTCAGAGACCAAAGCCTGCCCAGCTCAGAATGGAGTCCAAGGCTGCTTCTCAATTATTGTCTCTGCCTGGCCCAGGAACTGCATTGGGAAACAATTTGCCATGAATGAGCAGAAGGTGGCCATGGCCCTGACCCTATTCTGCTTTGAGCTTCTGCCTGATCCCACCAAGATCCCCATCCCCATGCCACTAACTGTGTTGAAATCCAAAAATGGAATCCACCTGCATCTCAGGAGGCTCTTTAACCATTATGGGGATAAGGACCAGCTCTGAGGGCCTCCACCTGCCATTCTGTCTTCCTCACTCCTGCTCCTATCTCCTGCCTGTCTGCCCACATTCTGCTTTCTGTCTACCCACCTACCTGCTGTCCTGCCTCCTGTACCCCCAGTCTGCCTGCCCTTCTCTCTCTCTCTCTCATCTTTCTCCAGAGTCCCTACCTGCTAGTCCACCTGCATCCCTGAATCTCTGCCCACCTCCCAATCTCCTGCCTGCCCTCCAGCTTGTCTGGAGGGCACTTGTCTCCTTCCTGCCTGCTTGTCTGTTCCTGTGTTAGTTTCCTATTGCTGCTGTAATATACCATCACAACTTCAGGGGTTTAAAATAACAGCTTTTTATTCTCTTACAGTTCTGGAAGTCAAAGTCAGAAACGGGTGAAAACAAGTTCTGGACAGGGCCAAACCCCTCCAGAAGGTCTCAGGGAGAGCCCTGCCCCTTGGCCTTTCAGCTCCAGGGTTTTACTTTTTGCATTCCTTGTTACTGGCCTCTCCTCTCACTTGAAAGCAAAGAGCATTACAAAGCTCTCTCTCTTACTGCCCTTGTATCTCTTTCCCTCTTATAAAGGCCCTGTGGTACATCAAGCTCATTCAGATAATCCAGAACAATATCACAACCTCAAGATCCATTACTTACTTTCATCTTCAAGGTCCATTTTGAAATAGATGGTCTATGATCATGGGTTCCATGGAATAAGATGTGGACATCATAGTAGGCCATGATTCAGCCTAGCACAGCCCCTACCTGATCTGTCCATCAAAATTTCTCCTATATGGTAACTGACTATGTGACTGTCATTCAAACAGCCCCTCTGCTTTCCCTTTATTCTCTCTCTGGAATAAAGTTCACAAAGTGTAAATAGTATCTGGCTTCCCTTGGAAGGAGATAGAAGAAAAAGAAGAGAACCAAGGGGTAGGAAAGACAGAGGAGACAGGTCTTTTCTGAGTAGGAAAAGGGGAAGGAAGACCTGCCCTTTGGTGCCAGGACTTCAGACCACCCCCAGGCACAAAGCTTCACACTGTGTGATCCCTCGTGCCCACACTGCCAGCTCTTGAGGCCTCAACAGCAGCTGTTTTAATTAAGGGCTTTTCTCTCACAGGGAGAAGCTCACTCCTGTGGGGAAAAGACTCCAGGCCTCTATTCCATTTACCACACTAGATGAGTTACAGCAGGGCTGAACTGAGGGCTTGTGTTGGTGTGTTTTGTGTTACTACAACAGAATACCTGAGGCTGGGTAATTGATCAAGAAAAGAGATGTATTTGGTTCATGATTCTGGTACCTAGAAAGTCCAAGTTTTGGCAACTGAATCTGGTAAAAGACTCAGACTACTTCCACTCAAGGCAGAAAGCAAAAAGGGAGTGGGCATGTGCGGAGATCACATGGTGAGAGAGGAAGCACTAAAGACTGAGGAAGCCATGCTCCCTTCCAAACCCACATTCTCAGGAACCAATCCCTTCCAGCTAGAGCAAAAACTCATATGCCTCTGCAGGGTGATGTTAATCTATTCATGAGAGATCCACCCTCATGACCCAAACGTGACCCATGAGGCCCAGACTCCCAACACTACCACACTGGGGATCAAGCTACCAACCAGAGTCTGAGCAGTGACACACCACATCCCAACCAGCAGGTCTGTCGTGAGCTGAGCAGGAAAGCCTTATAGGCCTGGTCTGGCATGAGGGCCTCAAGGACCCAGCCTTTCATACCCACAGTGAGACGTGAGAAGGGAGCCCAGCCTGGCCACATCACGAGGCACCTGTTAGCTGCCCTCACACATGAGGTCTGCAGGCTCCTCAGGAGGCTCACAGAGTGGGCAGCTATCCAGCAAAGGCTGGGAGGAGCCAGGATAGACAAATGAGTCTGGCCAGTGGACAGGATGTCAGACCCCAGGTACTTCCTCCCCACAGCACAGCCTTGTGGTGGTTTCCTGCCTGTGGCTGGCCAACCTGAGTGAACAAGGACATGCGCAACCCTGTCCACACTTGGTGACCGCCTGGGGACTATTTCAGCACCCAGCCTCCTACTTCTCACAGCTTCACTGGGCTGGTATCCCTGCTGTGCCAGCCTCTCTCCATCCAGACCTTGCTTCTCTTGCTGGGTCTGAGTACAGGTGTCCCCCATCTGTAGCCCAGAGTCCTGAATGCCACAGAGAGATCTTCCTCTTACTGAGATGTGACATTTTGTTCTGCTTCTCTGGCAGGGCTTCTGCCTCAACTGATGGCTGTAGCCAGACCTTCCTCCCAGTCCCCTGACCTCCCAGACCACTGGGCTACTTTAGCCCTGCTCTGAGAAGAGGCAGGAAAGGGGCAGCCTAGATAGTGCTTGACTAGGGTGAGAGGGAGAGGGTTGGGAGCGCCCTGCACTGTGTGTTCAGCAGGTCCCCCAGCATCAGGTGGTACATGAGGACTCGTGCTGGCCATGCTCAGAGAACAAAGGACAGTGGGAGCTCAGAATTCTGGGTGGTCATCCATGGAGAGGTGCTCTAACCACTGGATCCCACAGGGCATGAAGGAGTGACCAAAAAGTGACACTGCTCGATCCATGCACTGGGCACGACTCAGGCTGAGTGCACATCTGTGTGCATGCTCATTCCATGACACCATATAGAGACACTCAGGCACAGCCACACCTGTATGTGCCCACTGCACACTCCACACTCTACCCACACACATGTACACACATGCCCAGGATCACAGGAGGCAGCAGAGTGTGCTTAGAGAATCAGAAGAATTAAAAAGAATCCATCTTTAGTGCCCACCAGTCCCCAGCCTCCTATCTCCCCTCCCACAGGGAGCCTGTCTATGCCTTCTCACACCAGAGCTCTTAGCTCCTTTTCACATTGACACACACTATCAGAGAATGTTGGTACCATTAATGGAGGCTGGGTCAAAGAGGACAGAATCAGAGGCCTCAGCTCAAGCTCCTCCCAGATGAGTGTCTTATAGGTTCCTTCGTTCATACAGAAGTGGGATAATGGCCCCTTCCCATCCAGCTTCCCAGGCCTCCTCAAGGCCCAATTTAAGCTGATTCAAGTGGGAGAGGGGGGATCCTTTCCTCCAGGAAGCCCCCTCTAATGCAACTCAGCCACCTTCCCCAGCTGAACCCTGAATGCCTGGAGCACCACATGACTGTGAGACAGAATCACTGACAATGGCAGGAGTGCCACAGAGACCCATCTCAGGAGGAGCAGAAGACACATCAGTGACACCAGATTCCATATTTCTTGACTTCGGTGGTTGTTGCAAAAGAATTTGCTTCAGAATCCATTATTTTTAGGTCTTGGTTTACACTATTTTTCCTTATGTCTGTTATATTCTAAAAACACACACAAGGTTAAACAAAGAAACACATCTCAGTGAAGGGGCAATCCCCTAAGCCAATCTTCTGTTCAGTGGTGCCAGGTCATAACCATGAATCTCAGGGCAAAACCTTCCTTGTGCTCACTATGAGTCTCTAAGGTTGGAATGTAAGTTTCTGCTGCATTTTTAAGTTTGCCAATTATAGGACATAAATGAAGCTTCTTGAAGCAAATAGGTGCTCACCAAATGTTTGTTGAATAAATAAGTGAGCTGTGGAATACATGCATAATAAACATTTATAGACACATATTTTTATGTAGCACTGTCCTCTAGGAGTTGTCTGTACTAATGCCTACCCCCCTTCTAAACTACAAGACTCCTGAAGGCAGGGTGCCCCAACTCCTCTACATCCAGCCTAGGGAGGGTGGTGCCCAGGCAGAGGTCACAGCCTGAGCCGTCTGGGCCCCATTCTCATCAGAGCTACTTCCCAGACCCAGGGCTCAGTGGCTTTGGGTGGAGGTGGATGCCATCATTCTTGGAGCGCAGGATAAGCTGGGCTATCTTGATGGGCAACCGTGAGGGGTCCAGAGACAACTCAAAGCGGAGCAAGCACATGGCTGTGACCACCTTCATCTCATTGCTAATATGTTTTGTGAAACAAGGAACAGGTTATATTTGCTAAAGAAAGAGGGGGAAATGCTTAAGAGCTTCTTCTGTGTCCTAGGAGGATGGTCTGAAGACCCCTCTGGGACCAGTCCTCAGGTGGGGGTGGACAATGATATACTCACCTGGGCATCTAGGAGAATATCCAGGAAGTCCCGGTGCCTCTGTTTCTGGATCTTCTCCCATACCTTCTTATCCTGCAGGGCTGCCTTCCGCTCTCTGATGACCTGCTCTGAACCAGAAGCATAGAGTGTCACTGCCTGGGAAGCCATCTTCTGTCCGAAGGGGAACTGGGGTCCTATAATGGGCGGGGGCATAGAGGGACCAGGAGGAGGAATCCAGGCTTCCTAGAGGTGAAGGAAAAGGTATGGGAAAGGCCCGCCTGTATGGTCATGGGCCACCTGGCAGGCCCGCAGGAAGCGGCAGCCATGTGGAGTGAGCCAGTAGATGAAGTCACCATGATACTGGAAGGTCTCAAGGCGCTGCTGCATCAGCCGAGTAAGATCGCTGACTGCAAGGCAGTAGCTGCTGTCCCTGCACAGCAGAGGGTAGGAGGAAGGACTGGCTTAGACACTGGCCCAGGAGTAGCGTCAGAGCAGCTCCATTCCAGAAATCCAGCCCCAACCACAGAGCATCCTGCCCTTCTTCTCCCTGCCCTTAAGCTTCCTCATAAAAGCCAGATGTGTCTCCCTACCATGAGAAAGTCCTGGCTCCCCCCAAGCTAAGACTCCCTGGGACAGGACCCTATCTTTTCTCAGATCAGGGCTGAGGAGCCTGCCAACTCTCCCCTCTAAGCTGGCTTTGGGAGACAGTGTGGTCAGCCCCAAGGTGGCCCCTGACCCGTGGCCCAGGCTGGTGTCTCCTCTTCCAAAGGTACATATCATGAGTGAGTCCAGTGCCATGTGGCCTACATCACTGAAGATGTCAAAGGACTTATCCTTCCGAGACTTTTCTTCCCACTTGTCCTGGAGCCCAGGGATAGGAGGTAATGTGTAGGAGGCAATGTGGGGGCCAGTTGGGCTGACTGCCCCACACTGTTGTCCAACACCCATAGCCTATCCTTCACCACCAAGGCCCCCTTTACACACCCCCAGTCCCTGTCATGCCCTCCATCGTGCTGGAATATCAGCATAGGGTGGGTAGAAGTTTGGCAGCCTCTGGGCTTCAGGCTTAGAGGGCAGGGCCAGGAGGCAGATCTTGCACAGCACACAGATATTTTCTCCCAGTCAGGGCAGCCTCTAAGGGAATAGGACAGCTGAGAGGTGGTGAGCTCCCCAGCACTGTGTGTGTGTGTGTGTGTGTGTGTGTGTGTGTGTGTGTGTGTGTGTGTGTGTGTGTGTGTGTGTCATCCTGGAGAGGAGTTTCCTGCAAGGGAAAAGACTAGCCTGGATAACCTGGGGATTATCCAGCCCTGAGACTCTCAGCCTGACCTCTGATATTCCTCTTAGAGATGAGTTGTATTGACATAATTTTGGGCAGTTGTGGTAGACAGAGAATGTGGAGGAGACACTTTTTAGGTGTGAAAGCCTTTCCCACTACTCTCAAATATAGATGGTTCTCAAATCTGCTACTCTAGAGGCCTTATTAAGGCCTCACAGAGACCCTTTGGCCTGGGAGGAAGGAGGGCCAGGTAGAGACAAGGACGGGGCTGCCAGGACACTCAGAGATTCTGCACCTACTCAGCGGCAGCATGTGGCACATGTCAGCAGAGCAGGGCTTTGGCACTGCTGTTGCAGGCAGAACAGGCCTTGGGGCTCAGCTCTTCTCCTCACTTCAGAGCACCACCTGCTCTCCCCAGAACAAAACCAGGGTGGAGAGAGGCCAGCCCAGCAGCCAACAGCCTCTAGTACTCTGACACAGGGAGCTCACCAGCATGTTACATGTGGACTCAGCGAACAAGGCCACATAGGGTTTCAGCACATCATAGTGGAAGCCAGGTGTGAGCAGCTTACGGTGCTGGAACCACTTGGGCCCATCAAGAACCAGCAGTCCTTTCCCTGCAGAAGGGATGGGAGAGGGAAGGCTGGTCAGACCAGGAGATAATGTCCCAGCCCTGGCAGGGATGTGGGGCTAAGCACATCCCACTGGACTCCATCGCCAAGCCTGGAATCCTCCAAGGGTGGGCCACTAAGCGACCCAGTATTGCCCTCCGTGCCCTCTAGGCTACCAGGACCTCAGGACACAGGCAGCAGCAGTTCTTGGCTGAGTGAGCTCATTCCTTAGGACAGGATGACTCAGTTTCTGCCTCTCAGCTGCACCCACAAAGCCTGGGTCCAGGAACTTGTGTCAGATAACACTGCCAGATGTGAGACAAAGGACATGCATCCCCCTGGGGGCAGCCAAGCAGGAGCAGAGCCTGCTGGGCCTTGACTCTTGGCTGCTGAGACTGTGGCCACAGCTTCAGGACTTGGGGAACAACCAGCTGTGTTCGTGCTTCACGGCCTCAGGTGGGGCCCTTCCTACCCCACCCCAACATACCCACCAATGGAAATGCATTCCTGTCTTCAAAACCACCTCTGTTTTCCTAATCCTTTTCTATTACTTTCTAATTTTATCCTCTCTTTGATAACTGAAAAGAGGGTTACAAGCAAAAAGTCTTCCCAATGGCACTTGGTGAGTAAATAGGCTTGGGAAAGTGTTCTCCCTCTTGCCTCTGCCCCTTCTCGGCTCCCAAGAAGACACTGAAGATGCCATAGGATCATGAGTAAAAGAGGAGCTTTGGAGAAGCAGGTGGCCTTGGCTAAAGAATACTCCATGGCTTTAACTTGACTACCTCTGTAAAGGAAAAAATAAAATAAAATAAAAAAGAACACTCAGTGACTCCCACCTATTCTGAACATCAAATCACCTCCTCATCCTGGCAGCCAAGGCTGCCCTGTCCTCCCTGCCCAGCCTCATCTCCCAGCTGGGCTCTGCCTTGCAGCCACCCCGACAGCCTCACTGCCTCTGGTGACCAGCCATGGTCCCACCACCACACCGTTCCTCAGGCCTTTGCCCTGGCCAGCACCACCTATTTAAATCTGCTTTTGAATCAACTCTAGTGCCACCTCCTTCAGGAAACTGTTCTTCACACTCACACATCTCCAGAGCCTCTGCCCTGTCTAGAGAAGGCACGCCCTGCCGGAGAACAAGCCTTGGCCCCACATCCATGGCCAGCTGGGGGCTCTCCTACTCCTCCCCTGTCTCCTCACTGAGCAGCTGAGCTTAGGATGGGCACCCTGGAACTAGGCCATCTGGGATAACCAATTGAGTGGGCAGGGCAGGATCCTGGTCACCCAGCACCATGAGTCTGAGGTGGGTGGGGCAGGGAAAGCAGGCGTTCACTCACCAATCCACTGGATGAAAAAGTCATACACATCGGGGGCCTTAGGGTCTGCAGGAGGAAACAATCAGATCGAGCAGGAACTCAGGGTTCCCAGAGGAGGTTCATTCATGAGTAGGGTGGGAGCCTCAGCTGCCCAGACTTAGTACACAGGCCCAGGCCTCCTCCCTACTCATGCCCTGAGTCTTTTGTTCCCAGGAAGCCCCACCCTCTCCTGAGAGCCCCATCCTCTCTCTTCACCCCCACGGCTGTACACAGCTTTGGCATAGTCGGGCTCATAGATGTTCAGGAAGCCAATGAACTGTCCGAACCAGAGTTGGTGGGCATAGGGGAACTGGTGAGCCCAGGACACCACTTTGTCCAGGCTCCCTGTCTGCTGGATCTGAAATGATGACAGAAGGCCAAGGCCCCTCAGGAACCACTGTCACCAGCCAGGCACCAGGTCCCTGGGAGGGCAGGGGAGAAGAAGAGACTATGCGAGAGACATTATGTGTGCTATGAGAAAAGGCTTAAGTCACAAAAAAAAGCCAGACTCACAGGATCTCAGGATTGGAAGGAGTCTGACTCATCTGGTTCACCTGAGCCCTACCCTCCTCCTTATCAGCATGCTTGTGCACCTCTGCAGCAATCCCACGAGGGACAGGAGACCCTAGCCTCATACTGACCACATTCACAGCCTGTGCCCTGATCAAGGTCATAGCCAGCTTGCCACTGCCTCCCTATGCCTAGCTTCCTCCTGGCTCTTTAGATTTATTTAAGAAATACATAAAGCTAAAAAAAAAAAAGTGTACATGAGCCTAAGCCATGGCCAAGCTTTTAAATAAAGCTAGAGAACTAGGTGCACCTGCCAGGTACCTGCCTTGATTGCCCTGGGAGCCTGGTAAGAGGGAGGACAGCTCCCAGCACCTGGCCCCACTATTGCAGCTGCAGCCCCTCAAGAGGGCTGGGGCATCCTCTCTCTGGGGTACAAGTGACTGCCTGGACAGTTCCTCTGGATTACACAACTGCGTGCCTCACACCCTCAGAATGCCCCGAGCTGGGATACTTACAGGGCTGGGAGGTCTGGGACAGCTTGTTTTTACTCTGGAAGGAAGCAGGGAGAGAGCAAGGCATGAAGATAATTCACTGATCCCAGCTCCTTAGCCCCATCTCCCACCCTCACCTTGGCACTCCTTGTTGACCTCACCAGAAATAAACCACAGGGGGGTGCTGAGAAGAGCAAGCATACATCACCACTCTCCTCTCTGCTTCCCAAGAGCCTAAAGTAAGCTTTGCTCCAAGAATCAGATCAGAAAGGGATTTCAACGTTGCCTAGTCAAACCCTGACCTCTCTTTATCGATGGAAACGTGCGGCCCTGACCTCTCTTTATAGGTGGAAACGTGCGGCCCAAAGACCAAAGGGAACTGTCCCCCCGTGAGTTAAGGCAGACCAGGGATCCTGGCTGAGGCTCTTTCTGCAGCCCTTCCAGCTAGTAAGCCAGCTCAAGCCATCAGCCAGTGGACCTGAAGCTCAGTGGGCCAGTGTCCAAGAAACAAGCTACCCTTGACCAGTGTGCTGCAACCACAGTGCCCCAGGGAGCTGCTTGAGAACAAAGATAAGTCTGCTCACAAAATGGGGTAAGAGTTTCAAAAAACAAAAGGTGACGGGAGGAGAAAGAAGGTGTTTCCTTTTCTGCAGCATGTTGTAGTTCCCTCAAAGTAGATCACGTCGATCTCAGATTCCCAGCATGCAGGGTGTTAGCCCAACACTTTCACCCGGTGAGAATCCCTGCCCACATGCTCACACATCTTTAGTGACAGGAAACTTCTTTTCAAAACACCCCAACCATCTTTGAACAGTCTTAATTCTTCAAAAGGCTTCTTAGTCACTAAAGTGAAAGCCACCTGCCCACAGCCTTTCCCATACGTCTCCCTCTGGGACCACACAGGCTCCCACTGCCCAGGAAAGTCCTGCAGGGATTGGGAGCTGGGGGCTGGAACCCCCTAGGTCTGCTCTCCTCCAGGATGGACACCCATAGGTGCCCTTTGGTGCCCTGGTCTCAGTTGTCTCCCCACCATGGGCCCTCTCCACACACCCCAAGGTTATCAGGGCTCCATGTGTGCATGAGTCCAAGCCATTGCCAAGCTTTCAAATAAAGCTAAAAAGCTAGAAGCCAAGAAAAAAAACAACCAAAAAGGAGAAGAGGTAGCATCTCTGAAATAACCATAAAAATCAGCAGGAAAAATGGACTCAATTTACACAGACTCATTGGGGATTTAGCTGTGAGGTTGAGCAGAGCCATGGAGAGCCTGGAAAGAGGGGATGGAAGGCTAAATGTCCCAGGGAGCAGAGAAGTGACTTCCCCCATGCTGGTGACAAACATGACTTCATCCTCCATCCTCCCTTTCAAAGACAAATAAACCATTACACATGTACATGTGAACAAATAACATTCTGAAAGTATCCCTAACTCAAAGAAGGAGCAAAGGGACTTTGGGTGAGATCAGTGTGGTCACCAGCACTCTCCAGCTACCATGCCTTGACTGGGAAGTGATGATGGACTTTGTTCAAAGTCACACAACTAGCATCGTGCCCCAGTCTTTAGATTCCAGAGCCTGTGCTCTGCCTCCAACATCTCTCCTGTCTTCAGCATCCAAAGGTGAACTCCAGACTCAGGAGCACCCAAACAGGAGAGAGGAGGAATGCAGGAAAACATCCAAACAGCTAGAAAGACAGGAGGGCAGGGACCCAAGAAATGTCTAAGGGTCCAAGGGGATGCAGTCATCTGTCCTCAATCTGTGTGGGTGGCTTTGCTGCCCAGAGTTGGGTCCCCCAGAGATTCATCCACTCTTCCAACACGTGGGCATTAAGCAGCCATTACTGTGCCACAGACAGTGCTAGTTTCTAGGGTTATGGTGGTGAGCAAGACAAAGCCCTGCCCCACCAGCATACATTCCAAGTAGGGAGAAAGAAAATAAACAAGAATCAAATACACCAAGAACACAATTTCAGGTAGTGATAACTCCAGGAAGAAAAAAAGCAGAGTAAAGGGTAGGGCTGATACTGTGCTTGGGGTGGGCCAGGAAGACCTCTCTAAGGTGACGTTTCAACAAAGATCAGCAGAAATGCCTTCTGGAAAGCCCCATGGCATCAGCCACAATCTGCTTCTCAAAAACTTTTCTTTCAACTTCCCCCTCTACCTCTCTCCTCCTCACTCCCAGCAGATCACACTTGCTCTACTTCCCAAAGAAAATAGAAGATATCAGATAAGAAACCCCTAAAAGTCAGCTGGCAGACCTAAAGAACCGCCCCACCTGGGCCCAGCCTCTGTTTCCTTCTGTTTCAGGAGAGGAGCAGGCAGGGCCTGTCCAAGACCAGTCCCTCTGGATTCCAACCCTCCCCGCAAGGCACCTCACCCGTCAATCAGCTCCTCTCTCCCAAATCACAGACTTCACCCTCTGCAGGCTCCTTCCCATCCTCATTCAAAACTTGTTCAAGTCTCTGCCACTTTTAAAAAGACAAATCTAAACAAAACCTCCTTTGGCTCAGCTTCCTCCTCCAGCTAACACCTCATTTCTTCATCCCTTCATAATGTAATTTCACTAAACAGCTGTGGGGACGGTGGCTCACGCCTGTAATCCCAGCACTTCGGGAGGCTGAGGCGGGTGGATCACGAGGTCAGGAGTTCAACATCAGCCTGGCCAAGATGGTGAAACCCTGTCTCTACTAAAAATACAAAAATTAGCTGGGTGTGGTGGCAGGCACCTGTAGTCCCAGCTACTCGGGAGGCTGAGGCAGGAGAATTGCTTGAACCTGGGAGGCAGAGGTTGCAGTGAGCTGAGATTGTGCCACTGCACTCCAGCCTGGGCGACAGAGTGAGACTCCATCTTAAAAAAAAAGAACGGTGCTCACTGTTTCCAACTCCTTGTGACAGCGCCACCTCTCCTATGCTGCTCTTGCTAAGGAATCCAGCACTCTCCCTGGCGCTGAGCCCAGTGGACTCCCCATGTCTCATGCGCTGTCTCCTGGATGTCCTCCCCTCTCTCCCAGTGGCTGCCCTAGTCAGCTCCTCACCCACTGTTTGTTCCTCCAGATCTAGTCCTTGGCCTCTTCCTTGTGGCACCTTCTCCCTGAAGGCTCTCACCTGCTTCTGTGGTTTCCTGTGCCATCTACCTACCAACAATTTCTCAGTTGACAGCTCTTTCCAGTTTACCTTTCTCCTGAAGTCCAGAATGATAATCAACCCCCAGACTGCTCTGCATGATTCTCTCCAGACCCCTCAGACCCAGCATTTCCAAACCCATGCTCGTACACCTGTTTATACACATTTGCCCCCAAAATCTGCCTCTCCTGCTGAACTTGGGGATGGAACCACCACCCACTCCAAAACTAGCTGGGAATATGGAATGTTGTTTTCTCCATGGTTTATATCAGTATGAAGAGGGATGTCGCATGAAGGCAGCCCCTCCCCGCTGCCCACCAAGTATTTACATTGGAATCAGCAACCCAGAACAAAAAGAGCCAGATGTAGCAGGTCATGGGAGGAGACGATGTCACAGAATTCTCCAATTCTAGTACTCGAGGATTCCACACCCAGACACTGACAGATGCTGCCAGGCACTGAGCCTCCTCTTCCTGGGTCTCAGATGCCCACAGTTTAAAATTGAGGCATAGAAATCCATTCCTCCTGTTTACAATCCAGTCTTATGGCTCCCTTTTGGTGACTTTTGCCAGATTCTGCTCTGGTCCAGCTGCGTTGATGCCTCTAGTTAACAGAGCTCCCATGGCAATCCTCGTTTCCTTTTCCTGCTACATGGAGGGGCCCTCACTGACCCTCATACCTGGCTATGGTAGAGGTCTCGATGCCTCTCTCTCCTGTGCCCACCATGCCAAGACCTGGCCTGTTCTACCTTCCACTTCCCTCCAGCCCATTGGCTCACTCCCCACCACTAGGTGGAGGCCCGCATCACCTCCACCCTAGTATCCCTGCCTCTTATTTGCCCTCTGTCAATCTGTCCACCACCCTGAAGCCAAAGTGACCTTTCTAAAACATAGATCTGAGCTTATCTCTCCCTTGCTTAAATCCTTTCCATCGTTCATTCCCCATCGTCCTCAGAATAAGGTAAAGCCTTTTGACATGGCTACAGGGATCTGTGCGACTGCCCCATCCACCTCCAGCCTCATTCTCTCCATTCTGTCTCTAGGCCCAAGGATTGGTAACACTTGTGCTGTGTTGTTCATCTCTCCTACAAGCGTAGTTCCTCTAAAGCAAGCTCCTTGTCTTGATGCTTCATCCTCTGGCCTCAGCATAGGACCAGACACAGAGCTGTTGATCAGGCAATGCTGGTTTCTTAGGAAAAAGGGACCTTATCTGGCTCACAAATAAGGGTTGATTTGAGAGGAAGGAAGGGGATGAAGAAAGCAACTTTCCCAGGTTGTTTTGTAGCAAGACTCCCTCTACGATGATTTAATGATGATTTAACACCTGACGTTTATCTGTCCAGTAGTTCGAAACATAGCTATACTTTATCTCCTTCTATCCCCTTCTAACCCAGCAAGGTAAAAATGATTATCTCCATTTTGTTGACAGGGAAACAGAAGCACAGAGAGGTAAAGCAACTTACCTAACCAGGCATAGCAAAGGCCTATGATCAATGTTTACTGAATGACAATGAGCCACAACCCTATCTTCACTACACGGTACAAGGTCAAGGGCACTGTCACAGCAAAGGGCATGGCTGGGAAAGAGGCCTTTGCAGCCTCAGGGAATCTCATTTCCTTGGTCTGAGAGCTGGCATTCTACACACACACACATCAGATTTGTTGGCTTTTCAAGGGTTCCAACCTCAGGCCAACAATATAGCTGAGCACCTACTATGTGCAAAGTCCTCCCTGGCCCCTAGACTGGAATGAGGAGGACCCTGGAAGAATAGGATATGTCCCCACCTCCAGAAGACACATTCTGAGAATTGAGGAGGATGACAGGTAGATGCTAATGAAACTGGAGCGGCCACGAGAAACAGACCTCTCGGACGCTGAACTGGAAAAGGAAGGGGGAGCAAGGCTTTATGTTTTGTCCAAACGGCCAAGCTCGCCTAACACAGAGAAGCTCTGCCTTTATATAGGCTTACACTCTAGATATTACACATGAAAGGATCTTAGGTTTACAGCCTTAGAAATTACAAGTGAAAGGGTCTTGGATTTACAGCTTCAGAAATCACATATGAAAGGGTCTTGGGTTTACAGTTTTAGGAATCATATGTGAAAGGTTTCTGGTCTCCAGATGGAGGAGTGGGGTGGGGGTTTGATCTTGTTTAAGTAAAAACAGTGTTTTCTGGAGAAACACCACGCCTGCTATCTTAAAGGAAGGTGATTTAGGAGGCGCCAGTCAGCCAGCCTTTTCTTCTATTGAAATGCAGTGTGGAAGTCAAGGGGGAGGTGATCCCAGATGCCTGGGTCTTCTTCCTCACTACCAAGTCCTCCAGACTGTAATTAGAGACAAAGAAGGAGAAATCCTGATGGACAGCTCTTCCTCGCCCCCAGTCCCTTTACCCACCAGTCTTCCTCCCCTCCCTATTCCCATCATTGCTGGGCCTAATAATTAACTTTGCAGTAACCTTTTATGGACTGACAATGTCATGAATTAAAATGCAGACGTCCTGGGCCCTTGACCCAACTCCTGAGCCACCAAACAGACACAGACAAATATTTTCCACCCTCTGAATTTCAATGTCCTCATTTTTGCATTCAAGAAAATGATCCCCTCTCTCTACCCTCCCCATTTCTCAAGTTCAGATATGAATCCAAGCAAGAACAGAGGTGCCACGCTGTGGAGGACTGCAGAAGTGTTGTGCTTGCAATGGTTCCCCAGAAAACCTTTGTAGTTCCCACAAGTAGTCACCCCTCCAGCCTTTGTCTGCTCAACTTGGTGCCATGAGAAGGCCCTTCGGATAGCTGTGTTAGAGCTGAGAAGCCAAAGCCAGGCTGTGTTCCAGGCCCTCTGCATATTCTCAAGGTGGAAGTGGGAGCTGTTGCAGGGAAGAAAACAGCCACCCCTGACATGGAGGTCGGGATAATCAATGTTTACTGAATAACAATGAGCCACTGTCCAAAGAAACAGTGTCCTGGGTCCTTCCTTAGGACCCTGTCCTAAGGAAGCCCTTGACTGAGGGCAAACACACGTTTGACGAAGGCAAGTAGAAGTGGAGAGGGAAGAAGAAGAAAGGGAGAAAGTTCTCCCTAAATGCCTCTCGTACCCCATTAGTGCCAGACCTCATCCTTCCCTTGGTCCTCCTGTGTTCTTAGCAAAGCCTCTCCCAAGCCCTCCTGGTCCCTACACTTTTCTTCTCCATCATGCTTTCTCCTCTGTGGATACTCTCCCTACTCTCCAACACTCACTACTGGTTCATTCAGTGATGCCTATGCTGTGCTAGGCTTTATGCTGGACCCTAAGGGTACAGGGCTGAATCAGATCAGATCTCTATCCTCCAGAGAGCACAGTCCAGTGGGGAAGATGAACAGGTAAACAGAAGACAACAACCCAACAGGACAAGTGCTGAGATAAAAAGAATGGGGCTAAGGCAGAATCCTGGGGAGGAAGCTTGCCCAGCCAGGGAGCAAGGCTCTGGAGTCTGTTTTCCCCTCAGACAGTAAGCTCTTTGAAGCCCAGGGCTGGGTCTGATTCATCTCTCTGACCCACCCTTTCCTTTCCTGGATGTCTTCAGGATGCAAGTTACAGGGTTATCTGTTAGGGCAAGAATAAGTCTAGAGGTCAAGCTCATTTCTAGTGTCAGTCAAGGAAGAGAAACAGTGCCCCCCAAAGACTGAGAATGAGGAAAGTGGGTTCAGGAGGTAGGAGAAGAAACTTGTCTCACTCTGAGCCTCAATCTCTGGCATCTCAGCCAAGCACCGTGGCTCACTTCTGTAATCCCATCACTTTGGGAGGCCAGGGCAGGTGGATCATTTGAGGTCACGAGTTTGAGACCAACCTGGACAACATAGTGAAACCCAATCTCTATTAAAAGTACAGAAATTAGCCAGGTATGGTGGTACGTCCCTGTGGTCCCAGCTATTTGGGAGGCAGAGGCAGAAGAATCACTTGAACCTGGGAGGCAGAGGTTGCAGTGAGACAAGATTGCACCACTGCACTCCAGCCTGGGAGACAGAGCAAGACTCCACCTCAAAAAATATATATATCTCTGGCATCTCTACCTGGTTTCCCCAGGCTGGCTGCAGATCAAAACACTAACACTTGGAGAGGTTTTCAAATGTAAACCCCTAGTTCCAATCTGACAAATTAGAATCTCCAGAGGTTGGAGGCCAAGGAATTTGCTTCTCCCAGTTGATTCCAATTCCCTGCCCTGTGTCCCATTAGAAACTCTGGTCTAGATCCCCATGACAGTAGGAAACTAAGAGGTCTTCCTAAAGCAGGGGCTAAGGTAGTCCCCACCCTGGAGTAACAGGAGTTACTCAGTTCCTGTTAGTTCCTGGAGTAACAGGAAGATGAGAACTATGATCTGAACCTGGGAAGGTGTCACGACTCCTGAGCCACCCACAGGTGTGGCTGGGAAAGCCCTGCCTTTGGGGACACCACCTACCTAGACGCTCTGAGAGGTCTATCACGTGGTGCTACTCCTCTTCACCCTCACCCTCATTTCCTGCCTTACAAATGGAAATCTTTATACTGCACACAACAAAGCAGAAGCTAATTGAGCTTTCAATGGATTGCCTACTTCTAGGGACTACAGAGCTTTGGGATTTCTGTTTTGCCTTTCTGTCATTGCTGAGCCTTTAGCAGAACCTGGTCCAAACTTTGGGCCTCAGAATGATGAGAAGTAGTCTGTGGCATGCTTGAGCCCTGACTTGGAAGTGGCACCCACTTCTGAAATCAGCTTGAAAGGCTGGAGTGATGGAGAGATTCCAGTGGGAAAGCTGTATGGAAGCCATGGATCCCAGGACATCATCCCCCTGTCCAAGTTAAAGTCACCCTCCCCAGCCCCCTGGGAATTAGGCCTGATTCTTTGAAAGAAGGGAGGCTATTTTCTTTCTCCCCCCACCCCACCTCCACATACCTCGAGGGCATGTCCAAAGAGCCAGTGGGTGGGAGACCCTACAAATTTTTCCATAGCCTTGGCCGGCACCTCTGCCTCTGCAGCAGCAGGCAGATGAACTTGAGAAAGCCTAAGACTAAGATCAGCCCAGACGCCCACAGGCCCAAGCGGGAGAGGCTCAGGGAGAGGAAGCTGGGCACCATGGTTGGAGTTGCAGCCACCTAGATTTCATTTGACCTGCCTCCAGCTGCTCCTGGGTTCCTTTATACTCTGGACCCATGCACCCTGCCAGCTCCCAGCCTCAGCCACTCCCTGCAGCCAGCAGCAGCCAAGACTGGGCTGACTGCCATAGGGCAGAGACAGCAACCCCAAAGCCATAAACAACAGAAGAGAGAGCCTAACAGCCTTCTCCCAAAATTCAGCTAGAGAGAAACCTAATAGTGGACTCCAAAAAAAACCAGCAATGGGCATTCCACCTTTGTTCCTTAGTAGAACAAACAGATGGCAATTCTTAGTGTAATTATCAGGCACTTTTTACATACTATCTCCTTTAACCCAGACAGCAAGGAGGTCAGAGGCACTCACATTTTATACCCATTTCCCAGATAATGAAGCTGAGGCTCAGCTTGCCTATGCTTTCTCACAAGAAAGCTTCCAGTGTCCCCTCCAATATGAACCCTTGAGAGAGCTGGCACTTAGGCTAGGCTCTCCATGTGTTGAGTTCCTTTTTGTGAGGCACCTTCAGAGACAAGGTTTTAGCCCCAGAAGGGAAATACCAGGGCGAGCTCCACCCCTAAAACCATAGTACCATTTTGACACTTAGGAACACAGAACTTTCCAGGTGATGAGAAGTCATCAAATTAAATCCCTCCTGAATGGATGGAGCCACTTAGGCCCAAAGAGGGTAGGGAAATATCCAAAGTTGCACAGCAAGACAATGGCAGCTTCCAATGCCACCGCCCAGGCTTCTGTGGAAGAAAAAGTTTGGCTCAGGCCACTGCCTTGCCTGGGGAGGTATGCTATTTCCTTCTCCATTATTGAACTATATCAGTCAGAATCCCAGCAGAAAAGATAATCTGCTGCAGATATTTTAGATGAAGAGACTTGGATGCAGAGGGAGACAGACTTAAGAAATCCAACAAGATATGATGCGGCATGCAGAGACTAGAAACAACAAGAAACGCATCAATACCCCAGGACTAAAGGGACAAGGGAAGGAAATCATGCTCCTGTAGCTTGGTGGGAGTTGTATTTATGGGGAACACAGCTAGTGCCAGAGAAGTGATGCTGGAACAGGGAAAGAACATAGCAGAAATGTCCTAAACCCTTTCATCTCCCACCCCCCAAGTCTCTTACTAGTGTCTCAATCAACGAAGCCAATCAGAAGTGAAACGGCAAGGAGCCATAATCAGCTATAAAAATCTCTTCCAAGGGGTCTTATAATCAGCTATAAAACTCTTTCCCAATGGGCTTTTCATGGCAAGGAGCCTGGGGAGTTAGTCTGCAGAAGTCAGCCTCCCAGCAAAGGCAGTCTGGCAGGGAGGTGGCACGAAAAACCAGCAATTAGGCGGACTTGGAACTCAAATCTCAGAACTCAGATCACAGGTGCTGACTCAAAGAATGATAAGCCATCACCATGGCTTTGTTGTCCCTTCTGGCACCAGAGACCAAGCCTCCTCCTCTTCTGGGGAAACATCATGTCCAATCCTACTGATAGGCAGAGAAGGCAAGACGATAGTACAATGAAAGATCTCCAAAAGTGTGTTCTCTATTGGTCTGTCACACCTCCTGATATTTCACATTTGTGCTTCATTTTATTGGATTGGGACACTGAATGTGCCATTTAAAAGGCAAGTCACTTGAGTCAGAGAATGAAGGGACATGATGAGCTATCAACAGAATTCCATTATTGATGGTGAATTCATTTATCAGCATAGTTTCAGGCTGGTCATATGATGGAGTGTTTCAGTGAGAGCCTCAATGGGTTCCCACCTGATGAAAGAGCCATGGCTCCTAGCAAGGACCACATAGGATTCACCTGGGAAGTGAATAGGGCTAACCTAGAAGATGTTGAGTGGGTAGAGTGGACACTGGTTGAATGACTCCCCAGCATCCATTCCTTGTTTCCCCCTTCCACCCAGTACCATAAATTTACTAGCTTCAGATTGCCCTCACCCTCAACTTCAGTATGTGCTTATATTTATTTAACATAGTCTGCATTCATCTTGCCCACAGTAATTGATTGTTACAAGAATAGGCACATGACCAGAATCAGCCAATCAGGGCAAATGAAATTCTATTTCCAGTATTTAATTTAAGCTATCTTGAAACAGACTTTAATATTGAATTTGAACCTAAAGCATGTAATCTCAGAAGTCATCAATGTGGGAAGAGGCAGACAAGAATGTACTCAACACCATAGCAACAGAACTGAGAAATATACAGAGAGGAACTAAATATCAGTCACATTGTTTGAACTCCTGGATCAAGCTTCACCTGAATCTAGAATTAGCTTTGACTTTTTATTTTATTTTATTTTTTAGACTCAGGGGGTACATGTGCAGATTTGTTACATGGCTATATTGTGTGATGCTGAGGTTTGGGCTTCAATTCACCACCCAAATAGTGAATTCAATTCATCACCCAAATAGTGAATTCAATTCATCACCCAAATAGTGAACATAGTACCCAATAGGTAGTTTTCAACCCTTGCCTCTCTTGTTTCCTCTCCACCTTTGGAGTCCCCAGTGTCTGTTGTTTCCATCTTTATGTTTATTTGTCCCCAGTGTTTAGCTCCCACTTACAAGTGAGAACATGCAGTTTTCTGTTTCTGCATTAATTCACTTAGGAAATTGACCTTCAGCTGCATCCATGTTGCTAGAGAGGACATGATTTCATTCTTTGTTATAGCTGTGTAGTATTCCATGGTATATATGTACCACATTTTTCTTATCTGCTCCACTGCTGATGGGCACCTAGGTGGATTCCACATTGCTACTGCAGATAGTGCTGCAATAAACTTGCAAGTACAGGTTATCTTTTTGGTAGAGCAATTTGCTTTCCTTTAGGATTGCTGGGTCAAATGGTAATACTATTTTCAGTATTTTGAGAAACTTCCAAATGCTTTCCACAGTGGCTGAACTAATTTACATTTCCAACAACAGTATATAAGTGTTCCCTTTTCTCTGCAACCTTGCCAACACCTGTTCATTTGAGAGATTTTACTAATAGCCATTTTGACTGGTATGAGATGGCATCTCATTGTGATTTGACTTGCATTTCTCTGATTATTAGTGATAAGCATTTTTTCATATGCTTCTCAGTTGCTTGTATGTCTTCTTTTGAAAAGTGTCTGTTCATGTCCCTTGCCCACTTTTTGATGGGGTTGTTCATTTCCTGTTGATTTGTATAAGTTCCTTATAAATTCTGTATATTAGTCCTTTCTTGGATGCATACCTTGAAAATATTTTCTCCCATTCTGTAGGTTGTCTGCTTACTCTGTTGATAGTTTCTTTTGCTGTTGGTTAAGTTTAATTAGGTCCCAATAGTCAATTTTTGTTTTTGTTACATTTACTTTCAAGGACTTAGTCATAAATTCTTTGTCTAGGCCAATGCTTTGACTCTTTTAATTACATGAGCCAACAAGTCCCCTTTGTTTAATTCAATCCAAGTTGGGTTTTCTGCTGCTTGAAACCAAAGTATTCCTATGTGATATACTAGGGAAAACCTGAGAACATGGGAAAGCCTTGGTTAAGTTGTGCTGAAACATATTTGGGGGTTACCTTGGGACAAACTGAATGAAATTCACCTGGGAAAGGACAAGTGGGATTGTTCTGGTACATTTTGAGCAGTGGGGCTTGCCTGGGAAATACTGAGGCGGCTCATAGAGAAGTTCTAAATGGTATTAGCCTGGGCAAAGCTACCATAAGATGGGAGCAAGCAATGATCTGGATATGGTGAAAGAGGGGCATAGTTTAGAGGAGAAGCAGATTATCCGAGACGTTATCAAGCAGAAAACACAAAGGAGAGGAACATGTCAGGAAACTGGAGTGTCAAGAGCAGGGTTAGTATGGAGCTTCCATAGAGGGTTAGTATGAAGCCTAAGGAGACTAGGCTTTGTCTTCTAGGCTGCAGGTAGCCATGGAGAGGGTCTTAAGCAGAGGAACAAGGGTGATCAGAGGTGAGGTCCAGGAAGATCACCCCCTCTGTATGTGCGCAATGACTTGGGCTGGTGGGGGTGGGGCATGCAGGAGGCTTGGAGAGGAGAGGAAGCTATCAATGTACTGATCTTTGTGGAAGCTGACAAACCTGGACAGGGAGGTGGCAGAAGGCATGACTCAAAGCTGGAGGGGGAGGAGGAGGGAAGGGCGGTGCCAGGGGGCTGGAGCTCAGCCTGGATTGGCAGGGAGTGAGAAGTCAGAGGAAGGATGAGCAGGATGGATGTTGTGTGTGCTTCAGAGGTCCTACATAGCTTCTCCTGCCAAAAATATAGCCCAGGACTCGTGTTCTATTTGTCATACACCCTGCTGTCCACCCCTTGGCTGAAATCTGGCAGCCACCCACATTCATAGGGCAAAAGACAAGTCATCATGTGACCAGAATCAGAGGCTAGTCTTCAGTCAACTCCCAAGTCCTGATCCTACTAGCTACACACCCCTGGCCTTCTTGGCAGTGTGATTAATGGAAGACAAAGTTCTTAAAAGCTTCTATCTAGTAGTCTTAGTTCTGCTCTCAAGGGCCCCATAGAAACTTCAACTGTAAAAAAAAAAAAAAAAGAAAGAATAAAAAAGGCTTGTAGGTGATCCCCAGTCCATTAGTGTGCTGGAACAGGCTGGCACTGGCTCTCAAGAGCAGATTGTGTGCATCACTTCCCAACTCTAGGTTTGGTGTCACATTAGCAGCTTGAAATTGGCCATCATAGGACTATTTAATATTTACATGACAGAAACTGGCGAATGCTACAAATCCCACTTCCCTGAGAAGCCAGTTGTTAAACATTTCCAAAACACCATTGATCCTAACCCCTAGGCTGCAGAGATACTAGAGCAGCTCTCCTTGACCACTGGTAGTTGCCTAAGAGACCACCATTAGACAGGCCTGTAGGGCAAGACTGGAAGGCTCCCTTTCAGACTCCTTGGGAAAAAAATCTTTAGGCCTTCAGCAAAGACTAATTCCCATGTGTCTAAAGAGGTCTGGGGCTATGGGAGTAGGGAAGGGAGGGCACTGAGGAGATGGGCAC